ACACCGTTTGGAATTTTGAGGGTTAAATTTCCTTGTCTGCTTTTGTCATTCAATTATTTTACCTTTAGTCTGGAAAAACTCAAGTGATCCCCCATGCAGCGTGGAACAGAAGGGACAGATTTTTCTCCAAGCTGGTAACGTGCACCAGGAAGCAAGCCCAGCGGGTACAGCCCTTTCCCTCCCTGCCCTGGCCAGCTCTTCTGCCTATAGCGTATGCTTTTTTGGGAAGGAAGGATGGGGAAAATGGTCTTCTCCTGGATGAGACAAATTGGTGGTTGCCTCTCCAAGCCCTGCAATTCCTCCCTGGGAGGCTCGCCTGTGCTCATACAGGAAGCCAGCTCTGACTGTTTCGACCGCAGGACCGATTAGCTCAACCACAGTCCATCACAGTTAAACACTTATTTCGAAGGTATGCGCTGGGAACAAATGTTGCCTAGAAAAAGAGTCTTATTTTTTTTTCTTCCTTCCCCGCTGCGGTGCTGTTGCCATCGGTGAATCCGAAGCGTCTCCTCTTCTTGCAGCAGAGATGCAACACGTTGTACTGCGTGGGAGCTCCAGAGCTGCTCTTAACCGCTCGTAATCGCAGCGAGTGCCGAGGCAGTGGGTGGAAGGACGTGAGCTGGCAAATGCTGAAGCCGTGTGTGCCCTCTGCATTGGCAAAACAAATGAAAGCCTGAAGAATAACTCTTTCAGGAGGCCAGCACGATGTCAGGGCTCGTCGTCAGTGCTGTGGAGGCAGCTGTCAGCCAGTCTCCAGCGTTGCTGGAAGGCCAAAAGCTCCCTAAATATTATCTTCTGTAGCCAGAATGCCAGTGCTGTCACCAGCTGCGAGGAGAGACACAGCCCTGTCTCTGAGTCCCCCCGCTGTCCCCAGTCTGGTTGTTCTGAGGCACCACCGTTGAAATGAAGGGGACCAGTGGTTTGTCTGTCTGTCTGCAGGGGTGACCGTCATGCTCAGCTCCTTCTTGTTCGCCTTTGGCTTGGAGGTTGGGAGGGGAAGACATGGCACGATGCTGAATTGGCTTTTCCTGGGTTGTGCAATTTGGTGGAGGCATTTGGGAGGCTGTGGGACTGAGGACGACGTGCAGGGCGTGGGCACGCTGTTTCCACCCCGCCTGTGTGGGGTAGGGGCATGTTTATGTGATTAACTTGGGTCATTCAGAACGTGTCCTGGGCACATTTCGGACTGTGGATGGGAGAAGCTGCCCTGCTTGTTTCAGATTAGCTGTGAGCAATAGAAATAACACTGTCCTGTCCTGTGTTTGTGTTTTGATGAGGTGGGGCCTATGTGTCCGTACAGAGCCTGCTTGCTTTTCCCCTTCCCCACATCAGTGTAACTGCAGTGAGCTCTGGGTTTTACATTTGTCTTTGTGTATTATAAGGGCATCAGATGGGTAGGAGAGCCCATCTCTGCTCCCAGAGCAGCTCAAGTGAGGGGAAAAAAAGCCCTGAAGGTGCTGCTTCTCCTCAGTCCCAGCCATGTGCATCCCTTCCAGAGCCTTCTCTGGTGTAAGTGGCCCTGGTCGCCTCTGACTTGTGACATTTGGATGCAAAAGGTGGAGCCAGACTCGGAGCTGGCACCCTCCAAAATGGGGTGACTGTGAGGATTTCCAGAGGGCTGGAGGAGAATGGTGTCAATGAGAATCACAGCTTCTCAGATACGTCCCCAGTCGCCGCTGTGGGCTTGCGGGCTGACCAGGGCCTGTGGGGTCAGGGTTGTGGAGGCACCACTTTGTTTAGATGTTTGGATTCCTTTGCGAAGCCAAAAAGCCTCCATCTCCCACACACACAGGCGAAATTCCAGAGATGTCAGACAGCTCCAGAGAGGTTCCCATGGAGCACCCTGCCTCAGGGCTCCTGCCCTCTCTGGCTTGAGCAGAGAGCTGTGGAGCGGGAGAGCCCGGGCTGGGTTTCCACTGAGGGACTTGGGGCTGTTCCCATCCTCTCTTCACCTCCTGTATGAGGTGTTGAGATGAGTCTGTGCCACCGCCACATTACGTGTGCGGGGAAACATGTGGGGAATGCATCCAGAGTCCTCCACGGGCAAGGAGCGTTTCGGCTGGCTCTTGCCGTAGCAGAGGCGCAGGACTCATCGGCTGAGTTGACGTCTGCCTGCGAAGGGCTGTACGGGCACGCCTTCACTTCACCACACACTTGTGGTGTTCGCACTGGGAAATCAGACCTTCCCACAGCAGCAGCCAGGGCTACTTGCGTCGGTCGCTGGGAGAGGAGACTGATGATATGGTGTTACAAATTATATTTATTATATATTCCTGCAGTGTGCGCGGGGCAGCTCGGGGCACAGGGACAGCGCTGGGGCTCTGCTCACAGCAGGCTGCTCCAGGCCTTCGATCCTAATCCAGGTTGATCCTGGCTCTCAGCTCTGGCACAGTAAAAAGGTTGCCTGAAAAAGGGTTGCCAGAGCCCCAGGAAAGCCCTCCTTCCTCCTGCCTTCTGCAGTAGAGATGTTTCCAGCAAGTATTGGTGAATACAGGTTTAATCTGTAGTTACACACAGAATGAATAGCTCTTTCAGCTTAATGTTTTGCTAATTTATTTTTTTTTTCAGATAGAGGTTTTCTTTCTCTGTTGCCTTGAGTCTTCAGATTAAAGGTATTCTGTGCTAATGCACTCTGAGGCTTTCTGGAGGCATGTGTTAATAGGATATACAGCAGTCAGCTTATTAGCATGAGGACTCTGCTTTAGCTTTCAGAGCTGTGTGGCTGTGGTGTGTAAAACTCCTCTTCCTGGTGTCTTCCAGGCACAAGAAGACTCATCCAGAGCTGTTTGTGGAGGTGCTGTGAGGTGGTTGCTTAAGGCAAACTGGGAAAAACCATGCAGTAGTGACCAAAACTCTTGGGTTCCCATTATATCTCTGTTCCCTTGTCTAAAAATATATTGAATAATAGCATTTATTGTAATTGGGCAATAAATTCTGGAAACGTATGTGGGAATTAGCTATGTTTATTTTAAGTGGTAACTAAAACAAATAATTTCGGTGGCCGATATCCAGCGCGGCTTGTTCGGTGCGATGGGGACCCAGATCCTTTATCCCTCTTTGACATTTCTTTAAGCTGCCTCAAACCTCCTCCACACCACTCCTTAGGGCCACGCACTCAATTCCTCCCTGGGCTTTGTCCCCTGGCCATTTCTGTTGGCCAAATGTCTCCTCCTCTTCCTCGTAGGGTGGTGGGGAAGGGATGAGATCCCACTGGTCAGATCGGCTGAGCGCAAACTGGGAATGCATCTGCTGCCCTGGGTGAACTGGGGAAAGTCTCTTACCAGCTAAGGCGATCAGATCAGTCTCTTGTCAGGGTTAATTGTGAAGTTCCATTAAATTAAAAGCCTCAGCACCTTCTGAGTAAATGATTTTGAAACGAAACAAACTGGGGCAGTCTGGTGTGTTCTTGTTTGTCCGTATTTTGGGCCCTTTTGAAAGGGACTGAAGGAAGAGTTGTGTTTGTGTTTTGGACTTTGCTTTCTTGGTTTTGAATAGCTCATGGGGGATGGAATTCTTTGGCTGATGAAAAGCTGAACTTTCTCATCCTTTAAGGTCATTTTGGAGGAAATGTCTCTCATTTTTGGTTCCATAGTTTTCTCTGCTTTAACCAACTTTCCTTATTCTCAAAGGCAACATTCATGTTTGCAAAACACTGTGCACATAATGCCCGGCAAATCCTGTTTTGCTCCTTTGTAAACTCTCATCCAGGGCTTGTGATAGGGACAAAATGCATTTTTAATCCTTTCTTAATTAAGAAAGACCTCACAATTAATTAATTAGCCTTCATGAATATTATAGAGAAATCGCTACGTAACAGCTTTAAAAAAGGGAGCATGTGGGAATTTTGCTTTTAGTGTAAAAAGACAGGAGTTTAAGCCAGAAACAGTCAGTCTGTTTGCAGAAAATTAACACTGATGTTGCATTCACAGGTTGTGACTGCATCGTCTTGGATGTATGTTGTAAAAGAAAAGATGAGAAGCTTTCCTCTCCCTTCAGACTTAGCTCTGAAAGTCAGCAAAAATGGATGTTTTAAGCCTGTGCCAAGTCATTTGGTTGTCTAGATGTGTGTAGGATTTTTAGTTTATGTTTTGTGGGATTTTTTTTAAAATTTTGTTTTTAGAGGAGGAAAGGCTGCTGAGAGTGAATGTCTGCAGTTCAGCTGCTTGCTTGTGGATGCTGGAGTGAGCCGGGTGGTGATAAAGGGGAACACATTGGGTGTGCAGACCCCTGCTCCTGGCTGCTGGCAATGCTGGGATATCGGCACAAGGAATCGGAGTTGCTTTGACACCGGTAGCTTGGATCCAAGAAAGCAGATAAGAAGTTTACCTAAAGAGTTTCTTCTTTTAAAGAGGTCTTGCTTTCTCACTTGGATCCCTGCCCACCTCTGTATGGGCAGTGCGTGGTCAGCACATTGGGTTTTTACAGGTGTGCAGCTGAGCATTTTCTTCTCCAAAACCAGCCTGGGCCATATGGGAAGTTGTGAAACATTGATACTGGACCAGTGATTTTTAAAACAGTTTTGTTTTCTGAAGATGCTGAGCATTCCCCTCACTGATCTTGAGGTTTATAAGTAGATCTTAAAAATGAGTCCAAAATCTTTCAGGAAAGGCATCACTTCAGGCAACATAACCTTTAGTTAGCCCTAAAGGAGAGAACCTCACCTTTTGAGTCTCCTTGCCTCTGCAGTGCAGAGGGACTTTCATTTTTGTGTGGCGTGTCTTGGTGGTGACTCCATATCTGGTTTCTTCAGTGATGTTTTTGCCTGCCTGGAGTGCAGCTGGGAGCCAGAGGGATATGAATAAAGGCTTGAGTGTCTGGGAAAATTCTTGGCATTCTTAGGAGAGCGGGTTTAAAGGGGGCTGGGAATTGATTTTGGTTTGTTTGGGTTTTTTTTTAGTGTGAGGTTTTTACTGGGGGAGACTGCGTTGAGGGCTGGGAGCATGCAGCAGCTGGAGATGACTGGGGGAAGTGGTGTCATGTACGAGGAGGGATGGCTTGGAGATGGCTGTGTAGTGGAAAAGAGGAGGAGGTGAAGGCCCTGCCATTGCTGGGGGGAAGAGCAGCGTTAGGCATCACAGTGTTGCCACATAAAGTAAACTATAAAGTTCTTTAGTGCTGCCGCAGCGGGGAAAACACCATTGCCCTCCCTGCACGGTGAAGGCAGAGTTGCTCACACCAGCTGAGGTGACTCCTCTTTGGCCACCTACCATCACCAGAGTGGCCGGAGTGAGACGTGGCAGAGGAGCTGCAGCACAGCAGGTTGCTATACGAGACACATGATAAACCAGCAGAAACCCCGCGTCGAAAATTTTCTCTGTGGGAATTTTCTTTTTTTCTTCTTCCCCGGGACTGGTATTAAGTGCTCCACAGTGGGGATCTGGAATTTTAAGCACATGCTTAAGATTAACTGAAAACCTTCAGCGTTGAGTGTGTGCTTGCACTTTGCCAATCTGCTTGTGATTAGGTGGCATTTAGGAGCGACAACTTTAGCCTGAGAGGCAGTGAGATCTCCGCGGGTCAGCCCCAGCTGAGAGCCTGCTTCCTTTCGTCTCAAGTACCAAAGGCCCCTTGAGGTCACGCTTACTGTGCCTAAGCCCTCTGTCAAGACTCGATGTGCTCAGCATCCTGCAACTGCTGTTGGACAGCCCCAGATCTGGTGTCTTTACCTCTTGGGCCATCTCTTCCTGCTTAGAGGACTACAGCGTGCAGGCTCACTCACTAATGCTGTAATAGAGCAATTAGTAATACAATCCTTAGGCTGTAAGTACAAGAAAGAGAATATTTTGAGGTGTGATAATGTCTGTTTTGAATGTTGGTAACACCATGCAGGTGATTTTTTTCAAATATCGGGTGTGGTGTTGCTGGTTCTACCCCTCAGTTGCTGAGCTTGGCCAAAGAAACATTTTCTTCATGGGAACTTGAGTCTGCACTTGCTGCTGGTTCTTTGCAGACGTCGAGTGGCGTTTGTTGAGCCAGTATTTGGAGACGGGGCAGGATCTCCTGAGAGAGGTGATTTGCCAGATTTTTTTCTGCATTGATCCAGAAGCTGTGCCAAGCTCCAGGGAGTGCCTGCTTGGACAAAGCAGCTGACGTTGGCCTCTGGCCCTGTTTGCCCAGCTCAACTGCTCCATGACTCAGTTATGAAATGACAATAAAACCGCCAGTGCCTCTGTGAGGAGCCTTGTGGTGATGGGCGTTTGGGGGAGGACGAGGGGTCAGATGTGGGTTTGGGGTAGGGACCCCGAAGCAGACCTCTTTTCCATGGATTTGTGGTAGTTTGACTTACCCTGCCCAATCTGAGGGGCCAGGCAATGCCGGCAGCATGGGGCCAGCTTGCTCCACCTGGACTTAATAAGCAGCCAAATTGAGTTCAGTCCTTACTCTGCTCAGTTACAAATGAGACTCCCCACATCAGGACCAAATAATTTTCTGATTCCACGCGTTTCCATCCAGGAGACGAGGGAGCAGCACCCTACAAATCCTACTGGTCTGTGTATCACAGGCGCTGTTGTGGTGGCAGATTACAGACAGGGATTTGGGAAGGTGAAGTCATTGCTGTGTGACTACCAGCAGTCCCCAGCTGTGCCGGGTGCTGAGCCGGCCCCTGCGGAGCGATGACCGCCCTGTCCCGCTGCGGGAGCTCTGCCAAAGGAGCAGGGCCCATGGGAGCTCGCCCTGCTCTTCCTCTCGCTGGGCTGTGAGTCACGCTGAGCAGGGAGCTGCAATCTGTCTGCTCGCACTGCGTTATCTTTCTGTTTTGATTTGATTGTCAATTGGGAGGGAGAGGATCTGCCTGTGCTCTGCGCCTTGCAGGGTGCCTGGCACACCGATCCCTGACTCCACGCATCCACGTGTGCTACCGCAGTGCGAAACGATGAGCCCGTGGGTATATCCAGTGCCATGGAGCTGCTGATGGGTGTTGGGGTGACGGTAACGGGTGGTACTTGCACACAGGGGGGACCCATGCTGCAAAGTCCTGGTGGGTTTGGTATTATTTAAAGTCAAGGTGTCAGCCGTGGTTGAGGAGTTTATAAACAAAAGTGCACCTTGGTAGTGGGAAATTGCCGTGCAGAACTTGTGCTGTTGCCTCTTGCTATTTTATAAGTGAGGCCCCAGGTTGGCGGTGCGAAGCCTGTGGAGGTGCTGGAGGGAGCGTTTGGGAGCAGTGGATACCTTTGAGTTGAAGGTCATTGCTCAAGTGTAAGCCCTTTAGCAAAAAGAGGAAAGGTCTGAGCTGTTTTGCCTTGGAAAATGTCAGCTGTTCATCTTGATCACTTGTGTTTTGTTGGGCTGTAGAAATTGGAAAAGGCACTTTAGATACAGAAAAGTGCTGTGCTGTCCCTTGGGGTATCAAACCAGGAGCCTTCACTCAGTGATTTTTGGTTTTAGCTCTTGCTTTTACAGGGTATATTCATAAGTTTCTTGCACATTGATGAGTCTGCTGTAGCAGATTTACATTACAACTCCCATCATGCCAGGTTCTTAAGGAAAAAATATAATCACCATTTAAAAATAATCCCCATTTATGATTGCGGCATTCAATTACGCTTTTGTTTACCCTTATGCTTTCACCTGCTTCGTTTGGGAAAACAAAACTCTGAGGGTTCTCAACACAAGCGTATGTCACCGGAGAGCATTTCTTGTTGAGATTCGTTGAAAGACAATACTCCTCAATATTTTTATTTTTTAACTAACTGTTGTAGGGGTGGTCTTTTGTATCCAGTTCCAGTCTGTCCCTGCTGCTCCTGGTGTGAAAGCAAGAAGAGGGGCACCACATCTAAAAGTGGGGTGAGCTGCTCAGCTCTGTACCAGCAGCCCCAGCTGGGAAAGCTGCAGTTGAGGGGCAGCTGAACGTGGAGCCGATCTCGCTGCTGACATCCCCCATGGGTTGCGCAGGCAGAGACGAAGCCGCTTTTCCTGGGAGAAGTTGCTGAAAAATGCAGTGACGCAAAGTGAAACTGATGCTAATTTGGAGGTGAAGCATGCAGAGACTGGAAGAAGGGAAACTGTGATCAGATTCCTATTTTTTTTTTTAAGGTTCGTAGGCACACTGATTATTGCTGTAGCCTGTGCTGCCACTTCTCACAGGTTTCGTTCATCCCTCTGTCAACTAGGAAGAGCCTAATTAATATGTGAAGATAACATTGACCCTGTTACAGTGATCAGGATTTGGACTCTGATTGTGTTTCTCTGCTGCCTTTTCTTGTCTCGCTTGCCATAAAGGCCCAAATACCATATCATCTTTTACAGATGTGGTTTGTGGCCAGCTGCCCGCAGCGATGCTGCCCGTGCCCACAGCAGTGCTGCTCCCTGCTTCCTCCCAGCCCTGCTGTCCCGCTGCACAGCAGTTTGGGACCCTGCTGTGGATGGGCTTAGGAAGCCGATGTGGCTCTGAAATGCCTTTTTTAGGATCCCTGTGGAGCTTTGTGCTGGTGTGGCCACAGGAACAGGCCAATGTGCCATCCTGCATCCCAAGTGCATCCCCAGCCTGCAGCGGAGCATGACCAGAGTGGCTGGTGCCTTACAGCAGCTTTAAAACATCTTTATTTTATGTTTGGAGGTTTCTTTTCGGTTCTCGTGGCGCTCAGCTCAGCGTGGCCATCTGTGCTACCAAGGGCACGGCTGTCTTTGCTGCATGCCAGGAGAAGGGTCCAGTGACGTAGCTGTCGAACCAGAGCCAAAGATCGGTTTCCCTCCGGGGTGGCTGTAGTTCCCATGGCCGTGCCCCCAGATGCCATTTGTGCGCCTGTGGCCTCCATGGACTCTGCTCCTTGGCCTGGCCAGAGCATCTGTGAAAATGTTTGAAGGGCTTTGGATTAATAAATTCTGCTCTGACCTTCTGATGACTTTTGTTTCCCACCGAATTCCAGATTCAAAATACAAATTATCCCCTTGTCTCTTTGCTTCAAGCCCTGAAGATCGGCTCACGGCACAGAAGAGCACATTCAAAGGCTCTGAGTAAAACCTTGGGAGTTCCCCATTGCAGGATGCCTTTAGTGACCCAAGAAGTGATGTCCAGGGCTGCGGTGGCTGTTTATGGTGGGAGTTCACACCCGGATCCATCCCAAACTCTTAATTATCCTGTTGTGAAATTATCAAATGGGCTTCAGGAAAGATTGGCTGCCCCATGGTTATTTGCAATGCCAGGATGGGGTCTCTCCTGGTAAGAAGCAGGAGTTGTCCCTCCAGGCGAGGGAGCTGGTTCTCATCGGGTGTTGTGAAGGGCAGGGATGTTGCAGAGACCAGAGCAACTGGAAAGGGTAGGGCTGTGCCCATCCCATCCAGCCCTGCCACATCACCTGCCTGCTCCCGTCCTGCACTCAACGTGGCAAAAGTCCTACTGAAATTCTTCGCTTTTGTGTTAAACAAACCCAGCAAAACCAACCCACCTTGCTGCATTAGTGCTGCCCTCATTTATTGCAGCACTTGTGTTCTGGATTGATTATTATTTATGGTTCTGGATTGATTATTTATGCTGAGTGTTGCAGCCTGGCTGCTTCTGCTGGAGAGAATTCAAGTCTGAGTGTGACCTTGTTGCCTTCATGAGCAGGTGAATCCTGTCAAGCTGTCCTTGGGCTACCCTGGGTGAGCAGAGCTGGCCAGAAGGGTTAATCACTTGGGATGAGACTCACAAATCGAGTGATGCAGGTCCAAGCACCGGAGGTTGCTATAGGATAGAAGAATAAAGAATATTAGCAATAAAATAGAGAGAGAACTTTTTTCTTTCTTTTCTTAGTCTTCTTACTTTCTAGCAGTTTGTTTGTCCTAGCACAGCAACAAGAGCAAAACCCCTTTTGGAGGTTGAGTGGCAGCTGAACGCACTGCAAGCACAGCAAATGGCTTTCTGCTTTGGTATCAGCAGCGTCTTGGACTTGAACCAGATTATTATCGCTGCTTACAGAAATAAAAGGAAACTGTACATTTCAAGGTCACTGACAAAAATACTTTGCTGAAGTCTGGCTCGTTGGTCTAGAGATGGGGAGCAGTTTTGAGTAAGTGTATTCTTGTCCCGTAACGAGCAGCGACCAAACGCCAAAAAAAGAAGAGAAAAAGAAAGCCCTGTGCGAACGCGTTTGGGTTTCCTCCGGCCAAAGCATGACTGAGTTCTCAATGCAGCCTTGCCTAGCTGGAGCCTATTTGAAAATGCAGCCTTGCCGAGCTGGAGCCTATTTTAAAATCCGGAGCAGCGGTGCTGCCTGTTGCCTGGAAACCTCCTCCCAGCCTCGGGCACTCTCAGCCTAATCATAGCCATCGGCAGCCTTTATTTATTTCCCTTCCAAAATGTCATCCCAGGCTTCTGGTTTGTGTTGGGTTTTTCTTTTTTTTTTTTGTTTGCTTGTTTTTGTTTATTATTTAAAAGGAAGAGACACAAAGAATAACCATCAAACCGAGTGACTTTCTGTGGGAACAGCTTGCTTGGCTGTCACCGCATTGCAGTGCTGGGAACTGGCCCCGTAAAGCCCTGCGAGGTGGTGGTTGGGGGGGTACGGGGGTCCATCCCTGCAGAGGCGTTGGTCTCAGCTTTATTTAACATCTCTGCGTGCTGGCAGATGAACAGGAGAAAGTGTAACTTGGAGGTTTCCCTCTCCTCGGGGCCCTTTTTAATTCACCTAAACTCTTGGCCACCTTAAAGTCTTAACTGATGCCATCTCTCCCACAGGAAAGCTTTAAATAATTGCTATTTCTGCATAGTTAATGAGCATGATCGATCCCAATGGGATGAAACATAATTGATTGCAGAAGACCAGCTACAATTTGATTGTGTTTCTGTCTGGGGTGTCCTTTGGGAGAGGATTGGGCTAAAATCACCTGAAAGCTGGTAGCAGATCACAGAACCACAGAATCACTCGGTTGGAAAAGACCTCCAAGATCATCACGTCCAGCCGCTCCTGTCTACCCCCTAAACCATATCCTTAAGTACCTCGTCTACCTGCTCTTTAAACACATCCAGGGATGGTGACTCCACCACCTCCCTGGGCAGCCTGTGCCAGCTTCTGACGACCCTCTCAGTAAAGAACTTCCTCCTTATCTCTAACCTGAACCTCCCTTGGCACAGCTTGGTGCCGTTTCCCCTTGTTCTGATGCTGAGCAGGACAGCCAGAAGGTTTGTACGTGAGGCATAGGAGTGCCTCAGCTGCTCACAAGTTGTTCCTGTGATTTAAATGGTTTATTTTACAAGGCTGAGAGTATTTGTTCTACCAAAGGCAGAGCTGAAGGAGGCTTTGACTTGAGATGCAGCTGAACAAAGGTTTGTGTTTTGTTTAGCGATCTCATTGCAAGCGTGAAGCAATATGTGAGGCTTATCATGTTATTTCTCTTATTTTCCTCTTGAGTTTGAAGTGATTACAAAAATCTTGGGCTGCCTTTCTGTATAACACAGGGCGTAGACCTGTTGTCACCTCACGTATTTATTGCCTTAGTTTCTAAGCAAAGCTTTCTACAGGTGAGCATCGGCTTCGTCTTCCTCTTGCAGAGGGAGGGGACAGAAGGAAGAGCAAAGTGCACATGGGGGAGGCAGGAACAGGCCCAGCAGAGACGCAGTAGAAACCTGCGCGGTCACAGATGGCAAAGCAAGAGGCTTCCTCACCCTGACTGTGCCACCAGCACCCCTGAACGCTGCAGCAACCAAAACTGCGCTGCTTATGGCAAGAGCAAAGGAAAAAAGATCAAATACTCGGGGGGGAAATGCAGTCTGTCAAGCTGAATTCAGTGCTGGAGGGTTTAGGAAAATAAAATAGAAAGGGACAAGGAAAAATGAGTGGTAAAACACAGCGGTGGGTTTTCCTTTGCTAATCTCTCCCAGCTGTATTTAGTTGGAGCTCATGCTAGTGTTTTCTTTTTAGCCTGGTAGCTCAGTTTTCCCAGTTCCCCATTAAGATCAGTTTATTTTCCCTCTTTTCTGTAGTTGGTGGCTGTCAGAGGGTTTGAGCTGTGGCGTGCCAGAACTCAAGCTGTCATGGACAGCATTAGGGGTTGTATCTGTGGCTTTGCAGTGCCCGGGAGGGTGGTGATTTCTTGAGCTTTGTGGTTCCTCTCGTGTCTCTGACTTAACCTCCTCAGCGCAGCTTTGCTAATCTGTTTTCTTGTCCCTAGCAGAATGAAGAGAAGAGGAGCCTCTCGCTGGGGGGCCATGTGGGCTTCGACAGCCTCCCCGACCAGCTGGTCAGCAAGTCCGTCACCCAGGGCTTCAGCTTCAACATCCTCTGTGTGGGTGAGCATCGTCCTCTGCAAACAGACCTGGGCTGAGCTCACGGTGCAGTGAGGTTGGGATCGGGGTTTCTGTGTGTGCTGCTGCACCGTGGGCCTCGGCAGTGACTTTAAATGAGTCAGAAATGCCTAACACTTGTAAAAAATGCATAATTTCAATGAACTTCAGTTCTCTAGAGCTTGGTGCTTCTGAGCTGTGATTGTTGGAGATTTGTTGCCTAAAATTAGAGAGAGCTTTGGGAAAAGCTTCAATATATCAACTTTCTGCCTTTGGTGTGGGGTGGAGGGAAGGAAACGGATGTAGGGCTGTCCGGCTCTGCAGCTTGCATAGGGTATTTGTGCCATACTGAAGCTGTTTTCACATATATCCAAACCAAAGCAAAAAGCACAGCTGAAACACAGTTGAACCTCCAGCACCTCATGGCCTTGTTCCTTACAGAAGGGTGATTGCTGCAGAGGGTGATATGGTTTAATTAGTGTCGTTCTTGGGGACACCAGAATGGATATTCCTGCATTCTCATCTGGCACTACAACGTGTGAAAAAAATACTGCATTTTTCTGAGACAGGAACAGAAAAAATACAACCTTGTACACCCGTCTGCCAGTTCCTGCTCCCAGCTGTACCCAAAACTGAACAGGACAACATGGCTTACATCAGTAGTCCTTCCAGATCAATCTAGAGCACCAGGTTGATTTTATTGCCTTGCACAACTCTTAACCAGAGCTGGGAGGAAGCAGGCTGCACCTCCGCCCTATTCTAAGCACCACGTGGTATTTATGGTTGTGCTTGAAGAAGGAAAAGCCCAAACCCCTTGGCAGCCGGCATGGCACCTCCCTCCAGCACAGACTTGCTCACGTCCTGCTCTCCCATCATCATTGTCCACTGCAGAGCTCCTTGAAGGTGTAGTGTGGTTGGGAAGTGAGCAGAAGGCTGTTTCCTTGGAATTCTGCCTCTCTTCACTCCCTTGGCCCATAGAGCTGTGTCTAGTGAATGAGGAGTTTAAATGGAGCCCCTTGCAGGCCAATCTGGAAAATATCAGAGTCTCAGTTACCAGGAGCAACAGCTCAATGCCTTTCTGGCTCTCAGCCTGTGAGCCGAGTGTTCTGGGTTGGAGCTGGGTTTGTGATGCATCCCAGGTGTCCTTCAATGGAACAGGGGGGCTACAGGTGGGAAACTGCTCCTAATCTTGCCCCTACTCATTCTCCAAAAACTACTCTCTCCCTAGCAAGTTTCTCTGCCATCCCCTCTTGACTCCACATTATCTCACTCAGAGGTTCAAGCTGGCATGATTTGTTCTGCTACTGGGAAGACGAAGGTGCCTCAGAAGGGCCCTATTTCAGTGCTCCAGCACAGGGCTCTGCTGAGGTCTATAGCAAAAATGCAACGTGCAACAGGGCCTCTAAACACTGTCATGCTTTGGCCTCTGTGTCGCAGATGCCATATGGCATTTTGGTGGTTTCCCTTCAGTTTCCTTCAAGCAGTGTTCTTGTCTCCCCTGATTCGGGATGAAGAACCATGGGGGCAACATGGCAGCCTTGAAGGAAGCAGAAATACTAAGGGGAAACTCCAGAAATCAAGAGCAATACAAGATGAAAACAGCTGCATTGCTGCAGCTGGAGCTCTTCAGGGCAGAGCAGCACCTCGAGCTCTCTGCCAGGCAGCCGCTGTCTTGCTGAGGTATTTTGGATGCCGTGGAAGCTCATGCCTGATGTGACAGAAGAATTTGTTGCTTATTTCCTCCAATTTGGCCAATTCTGTTTGTTGCACAGGTGGCCATATCATCTCAAAGCATAGATGTGCTGTCTGTGATGTATCTGTGCAGAATGGGACCATCTTGGACAGTTTGGACATACCGAGCCAGATCCCAGTGCCTCATGCGGAGCTTGCAGTGTTTTTAAAAGGGGAGAGTAAAAGAGCTACAGAGCCAACTGGTGTAGCTGCTGAGCAGACAGGGGGAAAGGGTTACAGCAGAATGGGCTTTACTCCTTTGGCTGTTATTAATGTGACATGTGGGACTACAGGGTTGAGGCTGTGGAAGACTCAAGCTGCTTTAAGGCTTCCGGGCAGACCAAAGTTCAGCTGCACAGTGAAATCGTGAAACTTTGATCCAGTGTCTTTTCTGCTGTGAGAAAAGAGGTTTTCAGTCTGATGGCAAGTTGTCCTGACAGGGCCAGAGCTGGCTGCCTGCTTCTCTGCACTGAAGTGGCCCCCAGATCCTGTTCTCACAGGGGTCTCCACACTCAAAAACAGTCAGGTCTCCAGAGACTTTAATGGCAAGATAAACCTGGAGCTGTCGCTGTGTTTGGGACAGTCACCAACTGTCCCAGATAGTCCTTGTCAGTAGGAGCAGCAGGGTTTTATTCCTCATCTGAAGACCCAAAAAACTCTACTGAAACTTCACTCTCCCCATCTTCTCTGGTGCAGGATCCCAGGCAAAGTCAGGGTGCGTGGAGGGGAAGATGATGGTGTGTTTTGCTGTGCTGGGTGATCCTCATTGGAGCACAGAGCTCTGTGTTAGCTTTGCATTAAGCACGGGAGGCCTTCAGGAATGCAGTTACATTTGTGACAATTATATGTCTGTCCACAAGCAATTTGTAGTGACCTTTCACAGTATAATTTACTTGTGCTCTGTAATTAATGCTCTTTGAAGTGACAAACTCACACCTGTGACAAATGCATGCTGCAGCGAGCTGATGAATTCTCCTTCCTAGGTGAGACGGGCATTGGGAAATCCACACTAATGAATACCCTCTTCAACACCACCTTTGAGACGGAGGAAGCCAGTCACTATGAGAGCGCGGTTCGCTTGCGGCCACGGACCTACGACCTGCAGGAGAGCAACGTCCACCTGAAGCTCACGATTGTGGACGCGGTTGGATTTGGGGATCAGATAAATAAAGACGAAAGGCAGGTCTCGTGCCATCTGCTTGGCGTTTCTGGGCTGGCCTCTGGTGCTCAGACGTGAACTGCCCGCAGTCCTGCTCCATGCAGTGGCTCTGGTTCTGGGGTCTGAGTGTAGAGGGAGATAGGTGAGGAGCCAAAAGAGAAGTCATAGGAGGTCTTTCCAGCAGAGGATGGTGTCCTCCAGGAGCCCGAGCAGTTAACAAGCTGTCCTCAGTGCAGGGTTGGGAATTATCTGTTCTGGCAGTGGTCGGTGTCACTGGACCTGTCTCATTTAATTACACAGACATCTTGCTCAAGCCCCAGGTAAAGGCTTTTTGCGACTCCAAGGTCTCTCCTTGGTCGTGTTGCATTGCTACAGCCAGATGGCTCAGCCCTGAGATCTGGGCAAAGCTTGATCCTGCAAGCAGTCTCCTTTCCATGAGTCACTGTCCTTAGACTTTGCAGCCTCAGGAGACTCCAGCAACCTTTGGGTTTTAAGGTCTGTGTGTAAATGCCACACTTTTCTTCTTGTAAGGCTAAATGGCTTGAGTCTTACACCTACTTTTTAAGTGATACCGTGGTATGTCTAGGAGAACTCCTTAAGCCTTCCAACTGTTTAATTTTGGGCTCCAGTATCTGGGTTGCTAATTTGATGGTTTTAGTTACAGGCCGATAGTTGAGTACATTGATACGCAGTTTGAAAATTATTTGCAAGAAGAGCTGAAAATCCGCCGGTCTCTCTTCAACTATCACGACACGAGGATTCACGTCTGCCTGTACTTCATCACCCCGACCGGGCACTCGCTCAAGTCCTTGGACCTGGTGACAATGAAGAAGTTGGATAGCAAGGTAAGGGGTTGGAGACCATGGTCCCTCTTTCTGGAAGCTGTGAGGCTTCTGTTAATATTGATTATCACATGGAAGGTTTTGTTGCTTCCATGCAAGTGCTGGACTCCATCCTGCATGTTACCTGAGCCATTTTTAGGACTCTGATATAACTTTATCTGCCCTGCTGGTTACTGAGGTCCTCTGCTTTTTTTCTCACTGGCTTTCCTGAAAAATGTCAGGTGAAAAACCTGTTTTCCAGCCAGCTGTGTGAAGTCTTGAGTGTCCGTCACTGTAAGAATCTTACCCAGATCAGTTTATATTGATCAAAGCCATCAGCTGCATCTTTATTAGCTCTTATTTACAGGTGTGCAGGTAAGGATGCATTTCCAGCTCCTGCAGTTGAACTGTGGAGCCACCTGTGCTGTCCTGACTGGTCAGCAGGGACAGAGGGGCTGAGAGCCACCAAAACATGTCCCAGGGTGGTGGTCAGTATGGAGGAGACAAGGGCTGAAGAGAAGCTTTGGCTGTGCATGCGTGCACGGGGAGTACGTGAGCTGTCACTGCTGGTGGTGCCAGATGATCTGGAGATCACAACCTTCTGAAAATGGAAATGTCAGAAACTGTCAGGGTTGTGGGAATCCTAAAAATAGGCCGTGAGGGTCTAGCTGGGGATCGCTTCTTGGTTCGTAAAATGTTTCTGCCTTAGGGAGCAGTGGGTTACTTAACCGGCTACTGCTGATATTCCTGCAGCTCGGAGGAGCTTTCTGACACACTTTTGGTTGTTCCAGCTGGCTTACAGGGAGCTGCAGGAGGCTTCAAATGTCACCAGTGACAGCAGCATCTCTTTTCTTTGCAAGAATTTCCTCTCTTTTAGAGCAGTGTTTCAGCAGCGAGGTGGATCCTTTCAGATGGCCAATGCTGACCTGTGAACAGAGGGGCAGGCATGGCAGGGATGCTGGGGACACTGAGGGAATGCTGTCTCCTCTGGTTGTTGTCCACCCTCTGCTCTACTGGACTTTCCTGGCAGGCAGAGTCCCCCTTGCAGAGTCCCTGCTGTTTGCCCTCACCACTCGGGGCTGTTGGCCTGCTTTTCCTTGGTCCCACTCCAGAGCAGGCACTGGCTTCCCATTGCCCTGGGTTGTTGCTAGCAGTGGTGGCTGTTACACTGACATCATCAGGAATCCAAAAACTTTCCCTTCATAAACTCTTGTCTCTTGGTGCGGCGCCAACATTACATGTTCCCAGAAATATGTTTGGAGGAAAGCTTTTGCACGATTCCCCTTGATGCTGGTTGTCCCACAAAGCTTTTCTCTTCCTTTCCTTCTGCATTCCCTGCTTTTCACGTCTCCCCATGGCTGCCTTTAATGTGGTCCTTGGGTAGTACCAAAATAATTCCTTTGTACTTGTGCAGAGAGGAGAACTTTGTGAGCATGCAAGCTTTTTATACTTCTAAACTTCCACTTAGATAATCCTCTCTGAAGTAATTTTATCCCTATACTCTGATCTCCTTTCTTACTGCAGTGCGAGAACATCTTGGATGTGCACAAGCAGGCATGTGGAAATGAATAAGCAAACAGAGACCATTGATATTTTCTGAATGTCAGGGGTTTATGTTGCATTTCTGCATTGGTGTTATCCCAGGACATGAAGGCGCTTTCCAGGCACTCCTTAAAGATCTTTCTGTCCACCCCAGGCCGGTACCAGCGAGCAGTGACTGTGGCTGAGCAGAGAGGTGATGGGCACCGACTCGTATCTGCAGCCCTGTGAGCACACCTGAACCCGGTGTTCCTCTGGGGAAGCTTCACGTGGCCGACGGCCCCAGTTTTAGAGCTGAAGAACGCAGCCTGTGGGGATGAAAGGTGTATCCGAGGCTGCTGCATGCTCTGCTGGCTTGGGCTGTGAGACCAAAAACAAGGTTTTTGTAGGAACCTGGCTCAGTTACACCTTTGCTTTAGCCTACCAGTGGCGTGGCATCAGATACTGTGCAGGCTTTTGAATCTATGACTATTTCAATAATGCCTCTTGCTTTTAGTGTAAAGTTTACAAAATCCCTTCTGGGTAAAGCTGTTTGGTAAACAAGATCTTCCATTGTGCTGTAATACAATGTTTGTTTGGCTGAGCTCATGGCCAGCTGTTGTCTGGGGTGTTTAATTACAGCCAGAGAGCCCGAAGCATCTTCAGAAGTGGTTCGAGGTAGAGGAAATGTGGCTGGCATGTATGACCTTTTTCCATGGACTTTAACCTGGGAAAAAGAGAGGATAAATAAAAAACAGAGATAAAATAGTATCTGTATCAGCTAAGAAGGTGATTTGTTGATTTAAAACACAGCCCTGCTCTGGAAAGTGATGGCACATCATGCCATGGGCATCCTGGGGCGCGCTGGTGGCTGCCCTTGGATGGTTTCCAGGCCACAGGCGCTGTTCATGAGCTGGGGTAATTGCTTGCCATTCATGACCTGGCACGTCCTGGGCGGGTCACTGGTGATGGGGATGCTCCAGGCCGCTTTGTGCCTCTGCTGCTTGGTTTCCAAGGTAGGATTTGCCTCTTGGCTTTGCCAGGACTTGCATTTGGAGATGAGGAAAAATCCAGCTGTATTTCACAGGATCAAAATGCACATAGCCTTATTTTATTAGAAAAAATATTATCTAACAGCTGACCCAAACTATTCTATGATTACTTCCTTTTACTGGGTGAATAAAGGAGAGAAGAGGTGACTTTTATTCTCCAGCTGGTTGTATATGGCTTTATTTGGCGCTACTGCAGTGTGCCACAGAGTGTGGCCTTCACATAGAAGTGGATGTGTGGAAGGTGCTGTCAGAGGGCAGGATTACACACACAGTTCAGTTCAGTAGCATCTCGTATCTTGTTTGTTTCTTGTTTCCAAACTTTTCTGCCTTTTCTCCATATTATAAAGGGATGAGCTTGTTCTAGACCTAGACAGCTTTTGGTGCCAATACTTAAAATCGGAGAAAGGAAAAGAGCAAGATAATTGTATGGTGCCCTGGGTATCACTTGTTAAACATGGGGTTCCAGTTTGTGGGTTTCTAAATCATGCATGAAATCAAAATAAAAACAGTAATAACTTAAAAAATGTAAGAACTCACAGGGGAAGAAGAGAAGAGGAGGGTGATACACCCAAATGCCATTTCCAGGACTGCTGTTGATTGCTGGAAATACAGCAACTTGTAAAACCCTTGTGGGTTGCGAGCTCTGTGGCAGCAGGTGCTGAGTTGCCTTTGAAAAGGCAAAGCAAGGCACCCAGCTGTGGTCATGGCCCTTTTTACCTTTGTAATGAGGACATCGACCTGCTGAGGAGCAGAGTGAGCAGCAAACCTCGTTCTGTGGGGTTTGTGGTCCTTGGTAAAAGAGGTCAGATCAGCGGCTGAGAAAATGAAGGAATTTCTCCTCCTGGAAAAATTTGCAATGAGCAAATTAAGATGAATTTCTTTTGGAGCAAGTAAACACTCTTGTATTTAGTGAGTGCTGAACCAGAGGGGGGAAATGAAACAAGAAGTATGGAAAAAAACACCGAGCTACAAAGAGAACTTGAGCTGGGCAAGCAAGGCCATTTATTTTAATGGGCACCCATTGGACACCAAATAGCTGCTGTGAGTTTCTGTTCTGCAGGACAGAAAGCACTGGCTGTTGGGAAATGTTCGATGGCAAATCAGACTGTCCCCTGGTTTGTCTGAATTCTTGTGTTTCCCTGCTATGAATTTGGCTGCTGTTCAGGCAGACGAGTTTTGTTGTTGTTTGTTTGAGCAGCTGTTTGCAGTATCACACGTGGCTTTTCTGGGCACAGCAGCATTATCTAATAGGGCTTCTTGTGACAGATCCTGCCCTGCTGTAGCTCTTCTGAGCACAGAGTCATAGCAAACCACATCGCTCCTGAAGGATGTGTGATGTGGCCCCTGTTTGATTTTGATCTTGGTAGGTACCGAGCACAGGGGGGACCTCCCCTCCCTGCAGCTCACGGGTGGCTTTGTGAAGCCTGGGTGATGGAGCTGCACCACACATTGTGCTCGGTGACTGCTGATACGAAACCAAAGCTGAGCAATGGGAGGATGACAACGAATCTCCTGGCTGCTGTGTAGCACCCTGCACCTTTCCCAGGTCTGTGTAATCCTCACAGCATGCCTGGGCTGTGATCCTTGTGAAGAGGCTCAGGGAGTCCTCAGAAAGGATCTGCAGCCGCTGTGAAACTTCTGAGGAGTCCCGGCTCCTGGGAAGGCCTCGTGTCAGCTCGCCACAGTGTTTCATCCTTGTGCTTGTCTTCTAAAAGTGATAGTCTTCTAAAACGGCTTGTCAGCACAGCCAGAAGAAGATGGGTGATAAGTCCAGATGTGACAGTTGTGCTGTCTCTGCTTCCCTTGATGTGTGTAACAAAACACACAGGCAAGAGCAGAGGCTTTGATCCGCTCATTGCATATTTATCGCAGGGTGTTTGTCTTCGGTTTATCTTGTAGCCAGATTAGTCTTGGAAAACTCTTCCCTCTAGTGTTCAGCCGGGCTGGTGCTGCAGCTCGCATGCAAAATGTAGCAGCTTTGCGGTTTTGTGACATGTAAAGCAGCCAGCGGGGCAGGACCCGGGCCACCCACGCTCCCAAGACAGCTGCTTGCTGCTCACCTGGTTGTGTTCCCTTGCTCCCTTCTGCTGTAGGTGAACATCATCCCCATTATCGCCAAAGCAGACACCATCTCCAAGAGCGAGTTGCACAAGTTCAAGATCAAGATCATGAGCGAGCTGGTCAGCAATGGCGTGCAGATCTATCAGTTCCCCACAGACGATGAAGCAGTCGCCGAGATCAACTCCGTGATGAACGTGAGTGACGCTGCCGCCAGAAGTTGCGACAGATGAAATTGCCGCACAAAAATGCATTTGAAGGGCAAATTTTGTTGGCGTTGTCCAGATGCCAAATCTGTTTGAAGGTTGAGCTGTGGATCTGACAGATGCCTAAGGCTACTGCACACAGAATTAATTAAAATGTGGCTCTTATTTAATCTGTGGGCTCTCTGGAGGAACTCAGCTCAGCTCTAAAATTTGTTTTGTTGAATTTTTGAAAAATATTTTCTTTAAAATTCATTCTGTCTCCTTTTCGGCTGCTTTTCATTTGAGGAAGGAGAACTTTGAATACAAATTTTATAGTTAAGATTTACATTAGTCTTCGGACTTAAGAAGGCCAAGCAGAGAAAACCCAATTTAAAATAAAGAAGAAAAATTGTTAGGCTCTATTTTGTCTTTTTTTGGAGCTCAGAGATCAAATTCAGACCTGGCAGAAGAATGTGCAAAACACATTCAAATTTCCTGTGTCCCAGATCAGAGTGTAGCTATTGCAGTAGACACAGCTGAACTGTTTCCATGTTGATTTTTAAATAAGTAGCTTTTTCATCAAAATTAACATTTTCCTGCATAGCTGTTTTTCTGATTAAATGCTTTGCCTTTTCTTCTAACCCCTCCTTTATAACTTTCAATAGCCAATTGATTTCTGGGTCAACTAGATATATTATATATAAAGCTGTATTATAGCCTCTCACTATAATAGTTCTTTTTTTGCTGAATTCACGAAAAATTTGGAGGATGCACTCCTTTTAAATTAATTGCAAGCTTGAGGCTGGCACCCTGCTTCCTTACGGCGCTGGCAGCTTTGCAGACGGCGGGCAATGAGCACGCGTTGTATCCTGCACATGTCCCTTCCCGTGCCCACGCGCGCGGCAGCGCCAGGGCCTGTTTGCGGATGTCTCTGCCTGTGCTTGCTGCGAGGCTGGGAGTGCCCCGCTCTTGGCGCGTGGAGAAGCTACAGCTGCAAGAGCAACCTAACAAACCGATAGAGGGAGATCAGTGTTGTTCGTGGTGTTCCTACAATGTTTCCCCATCCAGTTTGGTCCAGCCAGAAAGCTGTGATACAGCCCCGTGCCGCGCTCTGGCGCAATATCCCAGTTCATGGCAGAGCCTGCTCTGAGTTTTGGAGATCGATACCTGCAGAGGAAGGACTTTTGAAGCAGATCCTGTGGCTGGGTGAGGGCTTATCTCTGAGGACTTAACCCGTGCACTGAGTCCCTGGCCTTGGCTCTGTTTCAGGCTCACCTGCCCTTCGCTGTGGTTGGCAGTACGGAGGAGGTGAAAGTTGGGAACAAGCTGGTGCGAGCTCGGCAGTACCCGTGGGGAGTGGTGCAAGGTAAGGTGCTGTGAGCTGGGCACCCACCAGAAACCTCCCCATGCACCCACCACAAACCTCCCCGTTCACACGCTGGCACCTTCTCCAGCTCTGCCCTCCCACCAGTGTGTGTGCTAAAGGGTGCAGAAATGCCCTGTGCAGCCTTCTGTGGGTTGCCCAGTCGTCTTTGAATCCCCACTCCTACCAGAAGGTAGCAATGGTCAATGAGAATCCCTGTGTCCAAGGGGCTGTGTTGTGCCCTGTCCTTGGGAGGGGATTCTCTGGAGTTAATCTCTGTATGGATTTGTGCTTCCTTGCCATGCATGAGGTTTGCTGACTTCTCCCTTTGCTCCTGTCAGTCGAGAATGAAAGTCACTGTGACTTTGTAAAACTGCGGGAGATGCTGATTCGAGTCAACATGGAGGATCTCCGGGAGCAGACCCACACCCGCCACTACGAGCTGTACAGGAGGTGCAAACTGGAAGAGATGGGCTTCAAGGACACAGATCCAGACAGCCAGCCCTTCAGGTGAGCAGCCTTCACGTCTAGCATCAATTTAGAGCAGTAGTTTGGTACTGATGCCCCCCAAAAATGAGAGATTTGTAGGTGGCATCCACAATGCTGGGCAGGAAAATACTAGCACTGGGTTTGGACTTTGCAGCTGACTTTGGTGGTGTTTGTCTTTAAGCAACACAGACAAGCATGTGTTTCCTCATCCCTAACTGATTGGTGTCCAAAGAGTCTGGATTTGGTTTGCTTTCTTTCTCAGCCTCCAAGAAACATATGAGACCAAAAGGAAAGAGTTCTTGGGCGAGCTCCAGAAGAAAGAGGAAGAAATGAGACAAATGTTTGTTAACAAAGTCAAGGAGACGGAGGCAGAGCTGAAAGAGAAGGAGAGAGAGGTAGGTGTGCCAAAAACCTGTGAGAGGAGCCCAAGATACAGCCAGCATAGGATCTGGGTCTGGGCAACGTAGGAATCCTGGAAAGCAGATGCAGCTCTTGAGCAGACCTCACCAGCCAAGGCACAAACACACACACACACCTTCCCCCACACAGAGGAGGGGACACGGGGGAATGTTTGCAAAGCAGCATCACTGGTTTAGGTGCCTCAGAAACAAGAGTTTTCCCTATCTTGTGCAGTGTGTGGAGGCTTGGCTGCTGCTTGGTGAGCAAAGAGCAATGCAGGATGCCTTGGTGAGCATCCACATTGGGTAGACTTCACCCCTAGAGGCTCTGGACAGCAGAGTAAAGAGGGCAGCTGGTCCGGAGTCCCCCAGAGCAGTGGTGTGGGCCACAGCCAGTGACTGGGGAGGAAATTAATGGACCATCTGCAAAACCAGTGAGGAACAAGAGAGTCCATGGTGTCCACAGCCCCCTTGCAGGGCTGCAGACCGAGCTGAGATCCTCAGTGTGCTAATCCAGGGCTTGTGCTTTCTCCCCTTTGAGATGTGTCATCAGGCAGAGGTGAATTTATTGTGTCCTCACTGATTTTGGTGAGGAGGCTGTGACTGCCCAGGGTGCAGAAGTGCTGGCTGCTGTTCCCCCCAGCTTGGTCGGTCTCCGTGGGGTGGTGGGGACTCGTGTGGGTGCAATGCTCTGAGGGTCTGTCTGCCACCAGCTGCATGAGAAGTTTGAGCACTTGAAAAGGATACACCAGGAAGAGAAAAGGAAGGTGGAGGAGAAGAGGAGGGAGCTGGAGGAAGAGATGAACGCTTTCAACAGGCGGAAAGTAGCGGTGGAAACCTTGCAGTCCCAATCCTTTCAGGCTACCTCACAGCAGCCACTGAAGAAGGACAAAGACAAGAAAAAGTAAGTGGCTGAACTCGCGTCTTTTTCCTCTGCTGCCCTCGGGTGTCTGCTCAGACACTTTAATGTTTGGCCATTTGCTTAGACAGCAAATGGAAAAGGGGGTTTTGGAGCCCTAATTCCTCCCCCCCTGACTCTTTGCTTGAAGTGGAGAGGCAGGGCCCTCCTGTGCCAGGGCACTGCCGTGGGGAAGCGCTGGTGGCTGCGGCTGGGAGAGATTCGCTATTTGGGGCCATTTTACAGGCTGAGGGTCCCAGGGTTTGCTGTTGCCTCTGTGACAGCCAGCTCCGGGGGTCCTGGGAGCTCCTGGGGACACCAGGAAGGTGACTGGAAATAATCTGCATCCTCTCCCCAGCAGAGAAGAGTGGGGACAGTCTCGACACAGTTATTTATTTCTAGAGGCAGAGCTGTAAAGAAGGAAACAGCAGCTTAGAGCAAAAGTGCTTTGTAAATTCAGCAGGGCTTGGTGTGAAACAGGGCTCCCAGACACAGTTCTGCTTACAAGAAAGCCCTTTTCCCCTAAGGGCAGAATTCTTATCTTGGCTTGCTGCAAATTAATTGACAGTGCTGAAGCCAGCAAGAGTGTGGAGCGAGGGCATGTAAATAACCAACGCTCTTC